GAGGCAAGGATTCTGAGGCTTTGTCTGACATACTTTGGTCATGTTATAAGGAGAAACCAGTCCTTGGAGAGGGACATCATGCTTGGGAGAGTGGAGGGCAGGCGCAGGAGGGGAAGGCCCCTTATGAGGTGGGTTGATTCAGTGACTGCGGTAATTGGGATTGGTATATCAAAGACAGTGAGATTGTCACAGGACAGAGCAGAGTTTAGGGCTGTTGTACATAGGGTTGCTATGAGTCGCAAGTGACTCAATGGCACATAACAACAACAACAACATAGACAGGTCTGAAAGCAGGAGTGGCATCTACTTCCTAAACAACATTCCTCTGGAAACTCTATGAACTTCGATAAATGACAATAGTTATAGAAGACGTTAGGCCCTTTATTCATAGGGTTGCTATGAGTTGTGCTCGACTTGACAGCAATCAACAATAACAACAACGAGTCATTATGAGTTGGAATCAATTTGATGACAGTGGGTGGCAATCTGTACTTGAAACTACTGCGTTAACCAAGTGACAAAAAGGTAAAGGCCCTAGGAGAAATTACAGCATCTAACAATAACAGCAACAATAACGTGCTTAAGAAATCAGAGAATCAGATTCATTAAATGCCTTACTGGGATGACACCATACCAGAAAGAGCTCAAAACGAGTCTGTCTTGGAAATTCTTGTCCCACTGTTGCAACTAGCTCTCTCTCCTAGAAAAGAAGGTGAGCCTGCATATGATAAGAAGTTATGCTGATTTTTAGCGACATTTTAACTTTTAATTTGGAATAGGATTTCTTTTTTTCGCCTGCATCTTTAATCCTGTGAAGAAGCCTTTTAGATAATAATATAATGATAACAATATAAAGATAATAATATAAAGAGTGTATTAGGAAGTTGATCACAGGAAGCTTCTGAGGAAATGGGGAAATGACAGAAATGTCAGGAAAACCAGAAAGGTGTGCACCAAAGAGCTGGTTTCTCCTGTGAACAACGGAGACTCAAATGTGCTAGAGAACCTGTGAGAGAAGCTGTAGAACATGCCTCGGAGTCATGCCACTGATGGGCAAGGCTCATGTGTTTATCCACTAACATCCTTTCCTTCGTTGTTTAGAATTGAGCCTGGGTGTTAACTCCCTGATACTTCTCACCTTTCAAGGGGGAGGTCTAGCACACACCCCCAGCAGCCAGGGAAATGTAGGAAGCCATTGGGACCTAGAGCTCTGTACTTTCAAAATTGAATGCCTATTCAAATCTGTATGGTAAGCAAATCTTTTGAGAAGCTGGGCTCTATGAAGTAGAGTGTGGCATCAGGATAGAAGGAAGACTCATCAACCTGAGTTATGCAGATGACACAACCTTGCTTTCTGAAAGTGAGGAAAACTTCAAGTCCTGTTGCAGAAGATCAAAGACTACATATATGGATTATATACATAATCCTTCTATATGGATTACATCTCAACATCAAGAAAATAAAAATTCTCATCACTGTGCTGATAGGTAACACCATGATAAGTGGAGAAAAGATTGAAACTATAAGCAAACACGTCTTACTTAGATCCACAATAAACATGTGGCACCAGCAGTCAGGAGATCAGGAAATGTACTGCACTGGGAAAGTTTGAATTTCAGGCACCTCTCAAACTTGCTGAGGAGCAACGATATCAGTTTGAGGACTAAGATGTACCCCGTTCAAGCCATAGTCTTCCCATTCACTTCCTACACATCTGAAAGCTGGAAAATGGATAAAGATGACACAGGAATAATTGATGCTTTTGAGTTGTGGTATTGAAGAAGAGTACTGACTATTCCACGGACTGACAAATGATCAAACAGGTATGACTTGGAGAAGGTCAAGGCAGAGTCCTCCTTGGAGGGAAAGAGGGCAAAGCTTCTCATGCACTTTTGGCATGTTGTTAGTGTATGCTATTCCTTGGAGAGGGATATCATGCTTGAGGTGGAGAGTCAACAGAAGACAGGAAGATCCTCAACCAAATGGACTGACACCATGACTCCTGCAACAGACTCCAGTATGTCAGACATGATGCTGATGGCACAGGATACAACAGCGTGTAGGTCCATTTTTCATAGGGTTGCTATGAGTCGTACTCAACTTGATGACCCCCAACTACAACAATTACTTGATGATTAACATGGAGATTTTTATAAACTATAGGTAAAGTTACAAAATCTGTCAATATAT